ATGGCTTCCTGTGACCTTCGGTTGCTCTCATTCAAGACTTTATTCCTGGTGGTCATTACTTCTGCTCATAGAGCTAGTGAATTGGCAGCACTTCGTATGGACTCCCCATACCTACAGTATTTTAAGGACAAGGTGGTGTTACACCCTGATGTATCTTTTCTTCCTAAAGTGGTTTCTGAGTTCCACATTAATCAGCCTTTAATATTACCAACTTGATTCTATTTCTGTTACATTGAGTCCTTTATAACTGAGGAAGATATATGAAAATTCAGGAAACTGTGGGTACCAAGATAAGTATGCTAATATTTCAATGTGTTCCATGGCAATGATGAGAATTTTAAAATACCGGTACTAAAAATGAAAAATAACAGAACTAACTATGAATGAGACTTCTGTAGAAATTGTATTATACAATCATCTTCTACAAAGCTGTAAAACACGATGTTAATGCAGTAGAAGTTCTGGCACATTTTAACAAGTTGGTAAGGCTTCTGAATACGGCTCTGGAGATAAAACTACATATTTACCGGCTAAGGAGAGGCTAACCAAGTTTGGAAAGGTTCATCACCAAAAACATGGCTACAGCTGACAACTATGAACACAATGATGGAGTAGAATAACTGCACTAGCCATCAATGAAGATGCTACATGCCCCAATTAAATCACAACTATTTAAGATATTCAATTATAAGGACAGTTTACTTGCTTGTAAACATGGTTCTTCAAGTGGATCTCTATGAATACACACATCCCGCCCAGCCTCCCCGCTCTCCGTCACTGTATGGTCAAGTCCAACTCCGACTATGTGGTGGGCGGATGGAACTGGGGTTTGGCGGGCGGAGCATGCGCAATACAGGGCAACTCAAACTGTGTTACTTTTCCCTATAGCTCTAGAAGATTCCGAGAGGCCAGCGCAGGCGCTGTCTTAACCCACTAGTGTGGATTCATAGAGATCCACTTGAAGAACCATGTTTACAAGCAAGTAACCTGTCCTTATAATTGAATATCTTAAATAGTTGTGATTTAATTGGGGCATGTAGCATCTTCATTGATGGCTAGTGCAGTTATTCTACTCCATCATTGTGTTCATAGTTGTCAGCTGTAGCCATGTTTTTGGTGATGAACCTTTCCAAACTTGGTTAGCCTCTCCTTAGCCGGTAAATATGTAGTTTTATCTCCAGAGCCGTATTCAGAAGCCTTACCAACTTGTTAAAATGTGCCAGAACTTCTACTGCATTAACATCGTGTTTTACAGCTTTGTAGAAGATGATTGTATAATACAATTTCTACAGAAGTCTCATTCATAGTTAGTTCTGTTATTTTTCATTTTTAGTACCGGTATTTTAAAATTCTTATCATTGCCATGGAACACATTGAAATATTAGCATACTTATCTTGGTACCCACAGTTTCCTGAATTTTCATATATCTTCCTCAGTTATAAAGGACTCAATGTAACAGAAATAGAATTTTATGCAAATTCTTTTTAAAAGTAGTATAGATACTGTGAGCCACTTTTCCCTGGAGAAGTGCCACCCTCGTGTAGAGAACTCACCTAAAATGATGAATGGCATGTTCTTGGAACATGTTGGAGCAGATCTTGGGGAGATGGAGGCAGCATATTATGCCCTCTGATTTTTCCTCCATGCCTGAAACAGCATATTTCTCAGATAGGAGTAGGAAGCTGAGGACTTATTCATGTCTTAATCCATCTGTTTTTGCCTTTCATTAGAGGTTCAGAAAAGAAAGTGGTGAAAATTACCTCAGAAATTCCACAAATGGAGGTAAGCTACTTTTTTCTTCAACTCCTATTAGCTGTCACATGTGCAAATGTTGTGTTGATGTCATTGTGTGAAGCTGACTTTTGAGTTATATTTCATAGCACGGTAGTTTAGATTGTATAGTAAGTATATTGTATTTTTATATTTGTTTTTGTTTTGAAAAAAGCAAACAAAAAACAAAACAACAACAACAAGGGAGATAGAAACCTCTCCCTTTCTTTTGGGTGGAAAAGGTGTGATGTAGAGGATACTTGAATCCCAGAATTGCTTTAGCTTATTGATACAATAGTACACCATGGTTTCTCATTTACTCTGAATGGGGTTATATTATTACTGGTTGTTATTAGGTCAATGTTGTTGGTTGGTTGAGATGTAATAGAAAATCATGTTTTTCTCTTGGTAATGGAGTAGGCAACCTTAGCATGGTTTTGTAGATTTGCCACAGGGCTAGGGTTGAGTTCCCGAGGGGCAACAGCTAAAGGTTGTGGTGAAAGAGAGTGTCTCGTACCCTTATTTGTTTTTTTAAAAGTGTTTTGAAATTATTGTGTCTTTTAAATTAAAATAAATAAATTTAAATCATTGTTTCAAGTTAAAAAATAAATTGGGGGACTCTGGATGTCCTGGTATGTTAATAATCATCAAAATATGGCAACATT